GGGTTGTTCTGGATTTTACTGACAATGTTTGGTGGGAGATCTAGAGTGGGGTTGTACTGACAATGTTTGGTGGTGGATCTAGAGTTGGGTTGTTCTGGGTTGTACTGACAATGTTTGGTTGTAGATTTACAGTGGGGTTGTACTGACAATGTTTGGTGGTGGATCTAGAATGTTTGGTGGTAGATCTAGAGTGGGGTTGTTCTGAGTTGTACTGATAATGTTTGGTGGTAGATCTACAGTGGGGGTGTTCTGGGTTGTACTGACAATGTTTGGTTGTGTATCTAGAGAGTGGAGTTGTTCTGGGTTTAACTGACAATGTTTGGTAATAGATCTACACTGGGGTTGTTCTGGGTTGTACTGTCAATGTTTGGTTGTAGATTTACAGTGGGGTTGTACTGACAATGTTTGGTGGTGGATCTAGAGAGGGGTTGTTCTGGGTTTTACTGACAATATTTGGTGGTAGATCTAGAGTGGGGTTGTCTGGGTTGTACTGACAATGTTTGGTGGTAGTTCTACATTGGGGTTGTTCTTGGTTTAACTGACAATGTTTGGTGGTAGATCTAGAGTGGGGTTGTGCTGGGTTTTACTGTCAATGTTTGGTGGTAGATCTATAGTGGGGTTTTTCTTGGTTTTACTGACAATGTTTGGTGGTAGTTCTACATTGGGGTTGCTCTGGGTTGAACTGACAATGTTTGGTGGTAGTTCTACATTGGGGTTGTTCTGGGTTGAACTGACAATGTTTGGTGGTAGTTCTACATTGGGGTTGCTCTGGGTTGAACTGACAATGTTTGGTGGTAGTTCTACAGTGGGGTTGTTCTGGGTTGAACTGACAATGTTTGGTGGTAGTTCTACAGTGGGGTTGTTCTGGGTTGAACTGACAATGTTTGGTGGTAGATCTGCAGTGGGGTTGTTCTGGGTTTTACTGACAATATTTGGTGGTAGATCTAGAGTGGGGTTGTCTGGGTTGTACTGACAATGTTTGGTGGTAGTTCTACAGTGGGGTTGTTCTGGGTTGAACTGACAATGTTTGGTGGTAGATCTAAAGTGGGGTTGTTCTGGGTTTTACTGACAATATTTGGTGGTAGATCTAGAGTGGGGTTGTTCTGGGTTGTAATGACAGTGTTTGGTGGTGGATCTAGAGTGGGGTTGTACTGACAATGTTTGGTGGTGGATCTAGAGTTGGGTTGTTCTGGGTTGTACTGACAATGTTTGGTAATAGATCTACACTGGGGTTGTTCTGGGTTGTACTGTCAATGTTTGGTTGTAGATTTACAGTGGGGGTGTTCTGGGTTTTACTGACAATGTTTGGTTGTAGATTTACAGTGGGGTTGTACTGACAATGTTTGGTGGTGGATCTAGAATGTTTGGTGGTAGATCTAGAGTGGGATTGTACTGACAATGTTTGGTGGTAGATCTATAGTGGGGTTGTTGTGGGTTTTACTGACAATGTTTGGTGGTATTTCTACATTGGGGTTGTTCTGGGTTGAACTGAAAATGTTTGGTGGTAGATCTACAGTGGGGTTGCTCTGGGTTTTACTGACAATGTTTGGTGGTATTTCTACATTGGGGTTGTTCTGGGTTGAGCTGTCAATGTTTGGTGGTAGATCTACAGTGGAGTTGTTCTGGGTTTAACTGACAATGTTTGGTAATAGATCTACACTGGGGTTGTTCTGGGTTGTACTGTCAATGTTTGGTTGTAGATTTACAGTGGGGTTGTACTGACAATGTTTGGTGGTAGTTCTACAGTGGGGTTGTTCTGGGTTGAACTGACAATGTTTGGTGGTAGTTCTACATTGGGGTTGCTCTGGGTTGAACTGACAATGTTTGGTGGTAGATCTGCAGTGGGGTTGTTCTGGGTTTTACTGACAATATTTGGTGGTAGATCTAGAGTGGGGTTGTTCTGAGTTGTACTGATAATGTTTGGTGGTAGATCTACAGTGGGGTTGCTCTGGGTTTTACTGACAATGTTTGGTGGTAGAACTACAGTGAGGTTGTTCTGGGTTTAACTGACAATGTTTGGTAATAGATCTACACTGGGGTTATTCTGGGTTGTACTGACAATGTTTGGTTGTTTATCTAGAGTGGGGTTGTTCTGGATTTTACTGACAATGTTTGGTGGGAGATCTAGAGTGGGGTTGTACTGACAATGTTTGGTGGTGGATCTAGAGAGGGGTTGTTCTGGGTTTTACTGACAATATTTGGTGGTAGATCTCTGGGTTGTAATGACAGTGTTTGGTGGTAGATTTACTGTGGGGTTGTTTTGGGTTGTACTGACAATGTTTGGTGGTAGTTCTACATTGGGGTTGTTCTGGGTTGAACTGACAATGTTTGGTGGTAGATCTAAAGTGGGGTTGTTCTGGGTTTTACTGACAATATTTGGTGGTAGATCTCTGGGTTGTAATGACAGTGTTTGGTGGTAGATCTAGAGTGGGGGTGTACTGACAATGTTTGGTGGTAGATCTATAGTGGGGTTTTTCTGGGTTTTACTGACAATGTTTGGTAATAGATCTACACTGGGGTTGTTCTGGGTTGTACTGACAATGTTTGGTTGTAGATTTACAGTGGGGTTGTTCTGGGTTTTACTGACAGTGTTTGGTGGTAGATCTAGAGTGGGGTTGTACTGACAATGTTTGGTGGTAGATCTAGAGTGGAATTGTACTGACAATGTTTGGTGGTAGATATAGAGTGGGGTTGTTCTGGGTTTTACTGACAATATTTGGTGGTAGATCTAGAGTGGGGTTGTACTGACAATGTTTGGTGGTTGATCTAGAGTGGGGTTGTACTGACAAGGTTTGGTTGTGTATCTAGAGTGGGGTTGTTCTGGGTTTAACTGACAATGTTTGGTGGTAGATCTAGAGTGGGGTTGTACTGACAATGTTTGGGGGTAGATCTAGAGTGGGGTTGTTCTGGGTTTTACTGACAATGTTTTGTGGTATATCTACATTGGGGTTGTTCTGGGTTGTACTGACAATGTTTGGTGTTAGATCTAGAGTAGGGTTGTTCTGGGTTGTACTGACAATGTTTGGTGGTAGATCTAGAGTGGGGTTGTTCTGGGTTGTACTGACAATGTTTGGTGGTAGATCTACAGTGGGGTTGTTCTGGGTTGTACTGACAATGTTTGGTGGTAGATCTACAGTGGGGTTGTTCTGGGTTGTACTGACAATGTTTGGTGGTAGATCTACAGTGGGGTTGTTCTGGGTTGTACTGACAATGTTTGGTGGTAGATCTACAGTGGGGTTGTTCTGGGTTGTACTGACAATGTTTGGTGGTAGATCTACAGTGGGGTTGTTCTGGGTTGTACTGACAATGTTTGGTGGTAGATCTACAGTGGGGTTGTTCTGGGTTGTACTGACAATGTTTGGTGGTAGATCTAGAGTGGGGTTGTTCTGGGATTTACTGACAATGATGTTTGGTGGTAGATCTAGAGTGGGGTTGTTTTGGATTTTCCTGACAATGTTTGGTGGTAGATCTAGAGTGGCGTTGTTCTGGGTTTTACTGACAATGTTTGGTGGTGGATCTAGAGTGGGGTGGTTATGAGTTTTTACTGACAATGTTTGGTGGTGGATCTAGAGAGGGGTTGTTCTGGGTTTTACTGACAATGTTTGGTGGTAGATCTACAGTGGGGTTGTTTTGGGTTGTACTAACAATGTTTGGTGGTAGATTTAGAGTGGGGTTGTTCTGAGTTTTACTGACAATGTTTGGTGGTAGATCTACAGTGGGGTTGTTCTGGGTTGTACTGACTATATTTGGTGGTGGATCTAGAGTGGGGTTGTTCTTGGTTGTACTGACAATGTTTGGTGGTGGATCTAGAGTTGGGTTGTTCTGGGTTGTACTGACAATGTTTGGTGGTAGATCTAAAGTGGGGTTGTTCTGGGTTTTACTGACAATTGGTGGTGGATCTAGAGTGGGGTTGTTCTTGGTTGTACTGACAATGTTTGGTGGTGGATCTAGAGTGGGGTTGTACTGACAATGTTTGTTGGTAGATCTACAGTGGGGTTGTTTTGGGTTGTACTAACAATGTTTGGTGGTAGATTTAGAGCGGGGTTGTTCTGAGTTTTACTGACAATGTTTGGTGGTAGCTCTACAGTGGGGTTGTTCTGGGTTGTACTGACTATATTTGGTGGTGGATCTAGAGGTGGGTGGTACTGACAATGTTTGATTGTGTATCGAGAGTGGGGTTGTTCTGGGTTGTACTGACTATATTTGGTGGTGGATCTAGAGTGGGGTTGTTCTTGGTTGTACTGACTATATTTGGTGGTGGATCTAGAGGTGGGTGGTACTGACAATGTTTGATTGTGTATCGAGAGTGGGGTTGTTCTGGGTTGTACTGACTATATTTGGTGGTGGATCTAGAGGTGGGTGGTACTGACAATGTTTGATTGTGTATCGAGAGTGGGGTTGTTCTGGGTTGTACTGACTATATTTGGTGGTGGATCTAGAGTTGGGTTTTTCTTGGTTGTACTGACAATGTTTGGTGGTGGATCTAGAGTTGGGTTGTTCTGGGTTGTACTGACAATGTTTGGTGGTAGATTTACAGTTGGGTTGTTCTGGGTTTTACTGACAATGTTTGGTTGTGTATCTAGAGTGGGGTTGTTCTGGGTTTAACTGACAATGTTTGGTGGTAGGTTTAACTGACAATGTTTGGTGGTAGATCTAGAGGGGGGTTGTTCTGGGTTTTACTGACAATGTCTGGTTGTAGATCTAGAGTGGGGTTGTTCTGGGTTGTACTGACTATATTTGGTGGTGGATCTAGAGTGGGGTTGTTCTTGGTTGTACTGACTATATTTGGTGGTGGATCTAGAGGTGGGTGGTACTGACAATGTTTGATTGTGTATCGAGAGTGGGGTTGTTCTGGGTTGTACTGACTATATTTGGTGGTGGATCTAGAGTGGGGTTGTTCTTGGTTGTACTGACTATATTTGGTGGTGGATCTAGAGGTGGGTGGTACTGACAATGTTTGATTGTGTATCGAGAGTGGGGTTGTTCTGGGTTGTACTGACTATATTTGGTGGTGGATCTAGAGTTGGGTTTTTCTTGGTTGTACTGACAATGTTTGGTGGTGGATCTAGAGAGGGGTTGTTCTGGGTTTTACTGACAATGTCTGGTTGTAGATCTAGAGTGGAGTTGTTCTGGGTTGGAATGACACTGACAAGGTTTGGTTGTGTATCTAGAGTGGGGTTGTTCTGGGTTTTACGGACAATGTTTGGTGGTATATCTAGAGTTGTTTGGTGGTAGATATAGAGTGGGGTTGTTCTGGGTTTTACTGACAATGTCTGGTTGTAGATCTAGAGTGGAGTTGTTCTGGGTTTTACTGACAATGTTTGATGGTAGATCTACAGTGGGGTTGTTATGGGTTTTTACTGACAATGTTTGGTGGTAGATTTACAGTTGGGTTGTTCTGGGTTTTACTGACAATGTTTAGTGGTAAATCTAGAGTGGGGTTGTACTTACAATGTTTGGTGGTAGATCTAAAGTGGGGTTGTTCTGGGTTTTACTGACAATGTCTGGTTGTAGATCTAGAGTGGAGTTGTTCTGGGTTGTAATGACAGTGTTTGGTGGTAGATCGCGAGTGGGGTTGTTCTGGGTTTTACTGACAATGTCTGGTTGTAGATCTAGAGTGGAGTTGTTCTGGGTTGTAATGACAGTTTTTGGTGGTGGATCTAGAGTTGGGTTGTTCTGGGTTGTACTGACCATGTTTGGTGGTAGATCTATAGTGGGGTTGTACTGACAATGTTTGGTGGTAGATTTACAGTTGGGTTGTTCTGGGTTTTACTGACAATGTTTAGTGGTAAATCTAGAGTGGGGTTGTACTTACAATGTTTGGTGGTAGATCTAAAGTGGGGTTGTTCTGGGTTTTACTGACAATGTTTAGTGGTAAATCTAGAGTGGGGTTGTACTTACAATGTTTGGTGGTAGATCTAAAGTGGGGTTGTTCTGGGTTTTACTGACAATTGGTGGTGGATCTAGAGTGGGGTTGTTCTTGGTTGTACTGACTATATTTGGTGGTGGATCTAGAGTGGGGTTGTTATGAGTTTTTACTGACAATGTTTGGTGGTGGATCTAGAGAGGGGTTGTTCTGGGTTTTACTGACAATGTCTGGTGGGAGATCTAGTGTGGAGTTGTTCTGGGTTGTACTGACAATGTTTGGTGGTAGATCTAGGGTGGGGTTGTTCTGGGTTGTAATGACAGTGTTTGGTTGTGGATCTAGAGTGGGGTTGTTCTGGGTTTTACGGACAATGTTTGGTGGTATATCTAGAGTTGTTTGGTGGTAGATATAGAGTGGGGTTGTTCTGGGTTTTACTGATAATGTTGGGTGGTAGATCTAGAGTGGAGTTGTTCTGGGTTGTAATGACAGTGTTTGGTGGTAGATCTACAGTGGGGTTGTTTTGGGTTGTACTAACAATGTTTGGTGGTCGATTTAGAGTGGGGTTGTTCTGAGTTTTACTGACAATGTTTGGTGGTAGTGACAATGTTTGGTGGTAGATCTACAGTGGGGATGTTCTTGGTTGTACTGACAATGTTTGGTGGTGGATCTAGAGTGGGGTTGTACTGACAATGTTTGGTGGTAGATCTAGAGCGGGGCTGTTCTGGATTGTAATGACAGTGTTTGGTGGTAGATCGAGAGTGGGGGTGTTCTGGGTTTTACTGACAATGTTTGGTTGTGTATCTAGAATGACAGTGTTTGGTGGTGGATCTAGAGTGTTCTGGGTTGTACTGACAATGTTTGGTTGTGTATCTAGAGTGGGGGTGTTCTGGGTTTTACTGATAATGTTTGGTTGTAGATCTAGAGTGGAGTTGTTCTGGGTTGTAATGACAGTTTTTGGTGGTGGATCTAGAGTTGGGTTGTTCTGGGTTGTACTGACCATGTTTGGTGGTAGATCTATAGTGGGGTTGTACTGAAAATGTTTGGTGGTAGATCTATAGTGGGGTTGTACTGACACTGTTTGGTGGTAGATCTAGAGTGGGGTTGTTCTGGATTTTACTGACAGTGTTTGGTGGTAGATCTAGAGTGGGGTTGTTCTGGATTGTAATAACAGTGTTTGGTGGTAGATCGAGAGTGGGGTTGTTCTGGATTGTAATGACAGTGTTTGGTGGTAGATCGAGAGTGGGGTTGTTCTGGGTTTTACTGACAATGTTTGGTTGTGTATCTAGAGTGGGGTTGTTCTGGGTTTTACTGATAATGTTTGGTGGTAGATCTAGAGTGGAGTTGTTCTGGGTTTTACTGACAGTGTTTGGTGATAGATCTACAGTGGGGTTGTTCTGGGTTGTACTGACAATGTTTGGTGGTAGATCTATAGTGGGGTTGTTCCGGGTTGTGCTGACAATGTTTGGTGGTAGATCTATGGTGGGGGTGTACTGACAATGTTTAGTGGTAGATCTAGAGCGGGGTTGTACTGACAATGTGTGGTGGTAGATCTATAGTGGGGTTGTACTGACAATGTTTAGTGGTAGATCTAGAGTGGGGTTGTACTGACAATGTGTGGTGGTAGATCTATAGTGGGGTTGTACTGACAATGTTTAGTGGTAGATCTAGAGTGGGGTTGTACTGACAATGTGTGGTGGTAGATCTAGAGTGGGGTTGTTCTGGGTTGTACTGACAAAGTTTGGTGGTAGATCTAGAGTGGGGTTGTTCTGGGTTGTACTGATAATGTTTGGTGGTAGATCTACAGTGGGGTTGTTCTAGGTTGTACTGACAATGTTTGGTGGTAGATCTATAGTGGGGTTGTTCCGGGTTGTGCTGACAATGTTTGGTGGTAGATCTAGAGTGGGGTTGTTCTGGGATTTACTGACAATGTTTGGTGGTAGATCTAGAGTGGGGTTTTTTTGGGTTTTACTGACAATGTTTGGTGGTAGATCTAGAGTGGGGTGGTGGTAGATCTAGAGAGGGGTTGTTCTGGGTTTTACGGACAATGTTTGGTGGTATATCTAGAGTGGGGTTGTTTTGGGTTGTACTGACAATGTTTTGTGGTGGATCTAGAGTGGGGTTGATCTGGGTTTTACTGACAATGTTTGGTGGTAGATCTACAGTGGGGTTGTGTTGGGTTGTACTAACAATGTTTGGTGGTAGATTTAGAGTGGGGTTGTTCTGGGTTTTACTGACAATGATTGGTGGTAGATCTACAGTGGGGTTGTTCTGGGTTTTACTGACTATATTTGGTGGTGGATCTAGAGGTGGGTTGTACTGACAATGTTTGATTGTGTATCTAGAGTGGGGTTGTTCTGGGTTGTACTGACAATGTTTGGTGGTAGATCTAGAGTGGGGTTGTTCTGGGTTGTAATGACAGTGTTTGGTGGTAGATCTAGAGGTGGGTTGTAATGACAATGTTTGGTTGTGTATCTAGAGTGGGGTTGTTCTGGGTTTTACTGACAATGTCTGGTTGTAGATCTAGAGTGGAGTTGTTCTGGGTTGTAATGACAGTGTTTGGTGGTAGATCTAGAGTGGGGTTGTTATGGGTTTTACGCACAATGTTTGGTGGTATATCTAGAGTGGGGTTGTTCTGGGTTTTACTGACGATGTTTGGTTGTGTATCTAGAGTGGGGTTGTTCTGGGTTTAACTGACAATGTTTGGTGGTAGATCTACAGTGGGGTTGTTCTGGATTGTACTGACAATGTTTGGTGATAGATCTAGAGTGGGGTTGTTCTGGGTTGTACTGACAATGCTTGGTGGTAGATCTAGAGTGGGGTTGTTCTGGGGTGTAATGACAGTGTTTGGTGGTAGATCTAGAGGTGGGGTGTAATGACAATGTTTGGTTGTGTATCTAGAGTGGGGTTGTTCTGGTTTTAACTGACAATGTTTGGTGGTAGATCTAGAGTGGTGTTGTACTGACAATGTTTGGTGGTAGATCTAAAGTGGGGTTGTACTGACAATGTTTGGGTGTAGATCTAGAGGGGGGTCGTACTGTCAATGTTTGGTGGTAGATCTAGAGTGGGGTTGTGCTGACAATGTTTGGTGGTAGATCTAGAGTGGTGTTGTACTGACAATGTTTGGTGGTAGATCTAGAGCGGGGTTGTTCTGGGTTTTACTGACAATGTTTGGTGGTAGATTTACAGTGGGGTTGTTCTGGGTTTTACTGACAATGATTGGTGGTAGATCTACAGTGGGGTTGTTCTGGGTTGTACTGACTATGTTTGGTGGTAGATCTACAGTGGGGTTGTTCTGGGTTTAACTGACATTGTTTGGTGGTAGATCTAGAGTGGGGTTGTTCTGGGGTGTAATGACAGTGTTTGGTGGTAGATCTAGAGGTGGGGTGTAATGACAATGTTTGGTTGTGTATCTAGAGTGGGGTTGTTCTGGGTTTAACTGACAATGTTTGGTGGTATATCTACAGTGGGGTTGTTCTGGGTTGTACTGACTATGTTTGGTGGTAGATCTACAGTGGGGTTGTTCTGGGTTTAACTGACATTGTTTGGTGGTAGATCTAGAGTGGGGTTGTTCTGGGGTGTAATGACAGTGTTTGGTGGTAGATCTAGAGGGGGGTTGTAATGACAATGTTTGGTTGTGTATCTAGAGTGGTGTTGTTCTGGGTTTTACTGACAATGTCTGGTGGTAGATCTAGAGTGGAGTTGTTCTGGGTTTTACTGACAATGTTTGGTGAGAGATCTAGAGTGGGGTTGTTCTGGGTTGTACTGACAAATTTTGGTGATAGATCTCCAGTGGGGTTGTTCTGGGTTGTACTGACAATGCTTGGTGGTAGATCTAGAGTGGGGTTGTTCTGGGTTTTACGGACAATGTTTGGTGGTAGATCTAGAGGGGGGTTGTTCTGGGTTGTACTGACAATGTTTGGTGGTAGGACAATGTTTGGTGGTAGATCTAGAGTGGGGTTATTCTGGGTTGTAATGACAATGTTTGGTTGTGTATCTAGAGTGGGGTTGTTCTGGGTTGTACTGACAAATTTTGGTGATAGATCTCCAGTGGGGTTGTTCTGGGTTGTACTGACAATGCTTGGTGGTAGATCTAGAGTGGGGTTGTTCTGGGTTGTAATGACAGTGTTTGGTGGTGGATCTAGAGTGGGGTTGTTCTGGGTTTTACTGACGATGTTTGGTTGTGTATCTAGAGTGGGGTTGTTCTGGGTTTTACTGGCAATATTTGGTGGTAGATCTAGAGTGGGGTTGTACTGAAAATGTTTGGTGGTAGATCTATAGTGGGGTTGTTCTGGGTTTGACTGAAAATGTTTGAAGGTACATCTAGAGTGGGGTTGTACTGGGTTGTACTGACAATGTTTTGACAGTGTTTGGTGGTGGATCTACAGTGGGGTTGTTCTGGGTTTTACTGACAATGTGTTCTGGGTTTTACTGACAATGTTTTGTGGTAGATCTAGAGTGGGGTTGTACTGACAATTTTTAGTGGTAGATCTAGAGTGGGGTTGTAATGACAATGTTTGGTGGTAGGTCTAGAGTGGGGTTGTTCTGGGTTTTACTGATAATGTTTGGTGGTAGATCTAGAGTGGAGTTGTTCTGGGTTTTACTGACAATGTTTGGTGCTAGATCTAGAGTGGGGTTGTACTGACAATGTTTGTGGTGGTGGATCTAGAGTGGGGGGGTTATGAGTTTTTACTGACAATGTTTGGTGGTGGATCTAGAGTGGGGTTGTACTGACAATGTTTGTGGTGGTGGATCTAGAGTGGGGGGGTTATGAGTTTTTACTGACAATGTTTGGTGGTGGATCTAGAGTGGGGTTGTACTGACAATGTTTGGTGGTGGATCTAGAGTGGGGTTGTACTGACAATGTTTGTGGTGGTGGATCTAGAGTGGGGGGGTTATGAGTTTTTACTGACAATGTTTGGTGGTGGATCTAGAGTGGGGTTGTACTGACAATGTTTGGTGGTGGATCTAGAGTGGGGTTGTACTGACAATGTTTGGTGGCAGATCTAGAGTGGGGTTGTTCTGGGTTTTACTGACAATGTTTGGTGATAGATCTAGAGTGGGGTTGTTCTGGGTTGTACTGACAAATTTTGGTGATAGATCTACAGTGGGGTTGTTCTGGGTTGTACTGACAATGTTTGGTGGTAGATCTAGAGTGAGGTTTTACTGACAATGTTTGGTGGTAGATCTAGAGGGGGGTTGTACTGTCAATGTTTGGTGGTAGATCTATAGTGGGGTTGTTCTGGGTTTGGCTGAAAATGTTTGAAGGTACATCTAGAGTGGGGTTGTTCTGGGTTGTACTGACAAATTTTGGTGATAGATCTACAGGGGGGTTGTTCTGGGTTGTACTGACAATGTTTGGTGGTAGATTTACAGTTGGGTTGTTCTGGGTTTCACTGACAATGTTTGGTGGTAGATCTAGAGTGAGGTTTTACTGACAATGTTTGGTGGTAGATCTAGAGTGGGGTTATTCTGGGTTGTACTGACAATGTTTGGTGGTAGATCTATAGTGGGGTTGTTCTGGGTTTGACTGAAAATGTTTGAAGGTACATCTAGAGTGGGGTTGTACTGGGTTGTACTGACAATGTTTAGTGGTAGATCTAGAGTGGGATTGTTCTGTGTTTTACTGACAATGTTTGGTGGTGGATCTAGAGTGGGGTTGTACTGACAATGTTTGGTGGTAGATCTAGAGTGAGGTTGTACTGACAATGTTTAGTGGTAGATCTAGAGTGGGGTTGTTCTGGGTTGTACTGACTATGTTTGGTGGTAGATCTACAGTGGGGTTGTACTGACAATGTTTGGTGGTAGATCTACAGTGGGGTTGTTCTGGGTTGTACTGACTATGTTTGGTGGTAGATCTAGAGTGGGTTGTACTGACAATGTTTGGTGGTAGATCTACAGTGGGGTTGTTCTGGGTTTTACTGACAGTGTTTGAAGGTAGATCTAGAATGGGGTTGTACTGGGTTGTACTGACAATGTTTGGTGGTAGATCTAGAGTGGGGT